ATGATTAATTACAGTGGATATCTGAATAATGTTTCATACTTTTTATCAAAAAATAAACATTATTTTGACAAAACTGTTAATGTGTTAGGTAATATTTTAGCTGAAAAACAATTTATTGTAAATATCAATAAAATCATACAAAAAGGTTTTGTTGACATTTTAATCACGCCAAATGGGTATTTACAAAACAATGGCGTTATTTCAATGTGGCTACTCAACATTTTGTTTTTAAATTTATCATTTAACACGACAATGATTTCCAATGACTTACTTGAAAGAATAATTATTTATATACACACCATCATATCTGTAAAGGTTTTTATAACTCCTGATTACAGTTGTTTTGTTCGACAATTATTAAAAATTTACCCAAATATTGTAAACCGCCTTTTAGACATTGTAATTGGGTTAGACAACGTATTTCAAATGGGGGATGAAACAGTTAAGTCTAATGTTATAAATTTAGTAGCACAGTTTTCTTATTTTGAAGGCAATTATTGTTCACAAATATTTTCAAGTCCATTGTTTTTACAATTAGCGAAGTATTTAAAAGAACATCAAATGAATAAAAATACGGAACTGATTTATTTTATTTTTTCGAACTTTGTTGCAGTTAAAGAAAACATAACTAATATTGTAAGGAATTTGAAAATCATTGATATCACACTTCAAAATGCCGAAAATACGGTGACAAAAGAAATGTGGTTTTTGTTGAAAAACGTTGAATATTTGATATCACAATTTGAAAACGTTGCAAATATAATTGGTGACGAAAAAATCAAAAAAATCAAAAATTTGACACGTTCCTCTGCTGAGTCATTTAAAACTAACAAATTCTAAAAAAAATAAGTAACAATTGGTTAATTTTAAAAATGTTTTGTTTTATATTCAAAATGAATTTTGATTAAAAAAATATATCGTCAAATTAAAGGTGTTATTTTTTCAAGGGAATACAAATAACATTATTTGATTAAAAATAAACAAAAAAACGATAAAAATTTAATATTAAAAACTTGTTAAATAATACAAAAACCAAAAACTTGAACAAATAAATTAAAAAGTTATATATAATATTACACGTTGTGATATTTATTGACCTACAGTTGAATAAATTAACCTTAGCCCAGCAAATAAACTTAAACCATCTTGTTTTTTTTACGAAGAAGATATTTGTCATTTTCTTTAAAAAACACATTATTTTGATTAAAAAACAAAAAACGAGTGTTTTTAAAACAGATTTTTATATATGTATAGTTTATTTGTTTACAATAGCAAAATAATATATTTCTTCGGCTAAGGTTTGTATGCTGGGAGAAGGTTTGATAATTCAACTGTATATATATTATTTTTTATATTTAAAATAAAATATGTTTTGTCAGTAAAAAATAATAAATTGAACACTCATAATTTTGAATAACAACTTTTTAATTATATTTTTTAATAAAATTTAGCTACATGTAGTGAAGTGAAGGTATAAATTTTCAATTGAATACTAAATAAAAGGGCTTTGAGAATAATAGAACAATTTTACGTCATATTTTTACTGTTTTTTCGGGTTTAAATTTTTAGTCAATAAAACTAAAAAATATTTTGAAAAAATTTAGACCCATTTTTAGATTATTTTTAAATTCGACTTTGCTGAAAAAATTAGTTAAAAATAAAATTGAACGAACTTAAAAAATAAATTGAAGTTAAAAAAAATAGGCAAACACCAAGCATTACACAATTAATGCCAAGCATTAATTCTTGTAAAAAAATAAACAAAGATTTATTTTTTTACGGTGTTATTTTACATGTTTGTTATTGTTATTATGTCATTATTTAGCCAATTATTACATAAATATACAAATATTAAATTTTATTACACCATATTTAAGATCTTTTATTAATGGTAAGTTGTGAGTGTGGTTATTGGCTATTGGGCGAGCTTGCAAAAAAATAAACACATTTATCATCTGTTTGATTGTGATGAAGCAGGATTTATAGAGTTTGCTTTGTTGCCAAGTTAAGTGATGGTTTTTTATTGGTTATTCGCTTTTTGTTTTATGTGTGGTTGTTGTTCTTCTATAGTTTTCGAATGATTAAAATAATTATAAAATATTATTATCAAACCAACAAAATGGTAACAAGATAATCAAATTGTCAATATTTATTATAATAAAAAAGACAAATTCGGTTTGTTTAATATGGGTTTTATTGAGAATGACAATTTCAGCCAATCAAAATAAAATATTTCGGGATAAGAAAACCCTTTTATTTAGCAATCAATTGAAAATTCATACCTTCACTTCACTGCCTGTAAACTATAAAAATTAATTATTAGAATTTATAGTTTAAAACAAATTATAATATCTGATAATTATTGAATAGTATAGTATTTTAAACTATTTATTACTTAATACCATCATTGCTGTGTATCTTTTGATTATACTTTCAAAAAATACACGAATGTGCGCAGAAAGCACCAAATTTTTGTTTTTTACTACGAAAGATTGTTTTTTTAAATGTTTTGATTAATATTTATTTTTTGCTTTTGAAAAAAATATACAAAAACCACATTTTACCATTTTTTGTTCAAAAATAACAACAACACATTTTATCAAATCAGTGCGTATCAGATACAAATTATAATTCAATTGATTATCATAAAACTAATACACATAAAATATATCCATTTTTATTGACATACATTACATGGTTTATTTTATTTATCTATTTATTTAGTGTATGTTTTTTTAATAAAATATTATAACAAAAATAAGTTTCAAATGAATAAGAATAATACCTTAAAATTGTATCAATTTTTAACGATTAATAAATAGTTTTAAGTTGAAAATAGTTATTGTTTTTGTTAATAAAATACTAAGACCAATATTTAATAAATATTGTGTTTCAATCTACATTAAAATATTTAAATGCCTTTTAATTATTTTTAGTAGAATACCATAAATTAAAATTTAGATAATATTCAAATCTCGTGAAAATTATAATTAAAAATGGTTTTAAATATATGGAGATAAATCACAGTAGAATGTATTTAATAAACATTTTGTGACATAAAATAATTAAGTTTAAATATAAACTTTAAAATATAAACGAATACATTGCAAATCTACGTTATCTATAACATAATTATATATTCTTAAAAAAGAGTATTGTTATGTTTGTACAATGATTTGATTATGTGGTTTTAGTATGACAATAACAATCAAACAATCGGTTTGTTTAATTTTTGTGGTAAATGAGTGTTACAAAATTAAATTTAAAATGATTATATTGATATGTAATAAATTCCTTGATCGAAATATAATAAAAAACACATTTTATATTTTAATTTTTTTTAATTATCCACGTTTCTACCATTTTTTTAAAGTTTTAATTATATTATTATTGTAAAAAAAATATAATTCAACACAACCACTTTTTGAAAAACATTCTGTTGGTGAAAAAAAACGGAAGTTTAGTGCCTCTGGAATGTATGTGTCAACAACACAATGATTACACGGAAGAAATTGGACCATGTAATACTTGTAAAGGGTATAGTGATTCAGATGCTGTTTATACCATATTTTCCACATTGTGCAGTGTTTGTAACACTTGCTTTAGGCTTTATTGCAGTTCCATATTATGCAATTTGCTTTTTCTTTATCTCTATAACATCAAAAGTACTTAAACGTATAGAAGAAAATATATACTCAAACCAATTGGTTTAATTCATTTATATTTATTTCTTTTACAATTTAAAAAAATAAATTTATTCAAATATTTTTTAATTTAATAATTATTTCAGATATACCACTTCTTTATTGGGTTTTGTTTCCAAGCATTTTAATGATAATCTATGTGTTTTATTTAACAATTTTGATGTTTTTGGTCTATTCTCCATTGTAATCTCATAGGCAGTTGACTATGAATATAGATATATTTTTTGAAAATAAATCTTTCAAAGTAAAGTATTCTAACATAGTAATTATAAATAAATATATGCGTTTTTCTCATATACTTATCTATCTATTTATTTATTACTTCAGAAACCACGTATTATAATGTATCAATACCCCTGTAAATGTCACATTTAATTTTTATACAAATAAGATATTTCCTTCGCTGCATTTGATATCATTTTAATAATCAATTGCATATCAATGTCGTCTTTCGATCATTTATTTATATTTATCAATTTTTGTAAAGACCCAAATTAAACAAATTCGGTGACCATACATATCTTATTTGCTATAAACACGACGCCATTAATTATACAATATACTCATTTCTAAACTTGTCCATCGTGTTAATATTATTGTCAAATTCTTTTCAAACAGCTTTATCGTTTTTTGTTTCAATATGTAAAACAAACTATAAAAAGATCGTGGTTGTAACTTACACATGAATAATGGACAAATTTGGCATTTAAATAATAGAAGGAGTCTCGATATCTTAATTGTTTTTTGTTTAGCTCGATGCTGATACAAATAAAGGATAAAGTCTTTGACAATGCGTCAATAACTCGTTTTTTACTGAGAATGTTTTCAGTTCAATTTTTTCTTTCTATTAGTATGGGTTTTTAAGCCCAATAAATCGATAGAAAAGGAAAAGAAGGTGAAGACAATTATTTGTTGATTTTTCTATTTTTCGTTGTTTTTTAAAAGAATTGACAAGAAAAAAGACTTTGTTTTTTAAAATAACAAAAGGCAATTGGGTGTACAAGCTTTTCAAAATAATGGTCTTTATTAAAAAATGATAAACCAAAATTCAAAAATTACAGAAACTCAATGAAAACTCTATCAGTCATTGTCATCAGGCTCAAGAGGTTACAACGAGTTTGGTTAGAAATGGGATGGGAAACACTTTCACAAGTTCATTAAAATAGAGTTGTTCTTTGTATAATCTTACTATTCCTGAAAGAATAGGTTCGTTTGAAGTTATGTAAAATAAATCAAAGACTCTGCCATTGCTTTGATATGGCAGACCTTATTTTTTGTAATCATTTTTTTGCTTTGGGTCAAGGTCTGCGATGTTAATGACATTGACGTCGTTGTCGGTATTGTGAGTTTGGTTATTGTTGTTTGGTTAAAAAATACTGTTGTCTAAACAATCTGAAACTCTTCGAAAAATCAAGAAGCACTATTTATATCAATAAAAATTCGGAAAGCGCCTTCAACATAACAAATAATTTCACCCATTAAAAAAGACACAATAATGGTTTCTTGTTTAGCTGCTCTGTTGATGTTTGACAAGTTTATGGTAACCATGTTGGTAAAATTTTTCCAACTTTCAATTTTCTGTCCTCTCTCTCGAATTGCTTTTGTTGCTACATAGTTTGACTGTGCTAAATAGCTTATTATTTCTCGAAATCAAACATTGAGATCAACTACTCGTTGTTCACTTGTTTGTTGTAATGATATATTTAAAATGGGCGGAAATGTGTTGTTGGAGGCAGTGATCTTTTGTATAAGAAAAATTAAACAGAGGTTTTGAAAAGGGGAGTTCTAATTTAACACAGATGATGTTGTTGTTTATACAATTAATTTTTGATGTGTGATTGTCCCAACTGTAAACTCAACTCGGCATAATTGTGTCCCAAAATACTATAATCAATGCAAGCGCGTCAGGTATAGTCGCAGTAAAATCTGTTTGGCTTTTATGTATTCAACCACTACATGCATCATCCAATTGCAGAAGATTTCCTTCGTTGAAAATTCCCTTGTTGTTGGTGAAAAGAGTTGCATCAGAAAACGTTGACAATGGCTTAATGTCAAGCGTTTTATTGGTCACGACAAAACTAATACACACAGTATTGTCATTCAACCATATTATATAAATAATTATGGATTTTTTATTATTTCTTTCGGTGCCAATCTTAACTCTTTTAACGTTAATAATTTGAGGAACAAGCACGCTGACTTTTTCTAATCGTAAAAAATGCTTGACAGGTTTTAAAGTGAATATATTGTATTCTTTTTATAATTACGTTTTTAAACCAAGTAAAATATCTATATCATTGATTTTTCTTAATATTCTAATTAACAAAATTATATAAATTTAAAACAATTAAAGTATAGACATAAAAACAATAACCATATTTTAATTAAAAATCCAAATATATGGTATTTGCATTAAATGTAGTTGCACACAGAGACATAAAATTAAATTTTTTTACTAATGTTTTCATTGAATGCAAATCAAAAGTCAACGCATAAAAGACTGATTTTGAAGCAAGTCAAAATGTCAACATATCGATTACTAACATGACTTATACATAAGTAATTGAAACATATATTAATGTAGTATTTAATATTTTGAACAAATAATGTTACAAATAAAAGTAGAAGTATATTTATTTGCTATGATTATAATTGAATGTTTTTGTGGGATGAGGCGTTTTCTAAAAGTGTTTACATGTTTTAGTAGTCAATTACAAATGAAATTGCCCATGTAATTAGACCAACTATAATTATAATAAATGGTAATAAAAAAGCAATGTTATTGAATGGTGTTAAAAATACAAAAAATGTTTTAAATCAACGAAATTATTGATAGACTCGAAAATAATTTAACGAATTAACATTAATATTTATACAACAATTCTGATAAATAACGTTTTAATTATCACAACGCACTTTGGGAGTGAAATCAATTAATTTATTTTAAAAAATATCAACTAATTTACAATTCAATTTTTTGATTTTGGTCAAAAATTAAATAACTCCATTTAATAAATTTTTCATTAAAATATTGTTATTTAAATAACATAATTTGAATAAATAAAGTTAAGTACAAAATACAAAACCTCAAAGTCAAATTGAAAAATAAAAACTTCAATGGTATAATAATAAAATCCCGATAATAACCGACAAACATAAGCAAAATTAAAATAAATGTAGGTTTTGATTACTTACAAAAATCATTCCATTTTTATAAACAAAATACCAATTAAAATACACTTTTTTTAAATATAAAAACGGGATTATATAAATATGAGATATTGAAGTATATGATTTCCACGTTAATTATGTAATATAAACATAGAACGAAAAAAGTGAAAACAATGACAGAGCAAGAACGAGCATTAGACCTTGTTTTTGTATGCGACACAACAGGTTCAATGGGTGCATATTTATCAGCCGCACAAAAAGGAATAGAACACATCATAACTTCTATCAACCAGTCTGAAAAATGTGATGTTCAGTTTGCCCTCGTAGAGTATCGAGACCATCCACCAGAAGACTCGTCATTTGCAACTCGTTTGACGGATTTCACATCTTCTATAAAAGAAATCAAAACTGCTGTTTCTCAAATGTCGCCGAATGGAGGAGGAGATGGTCCCGAGTCAGTCACTTGTGCTCTTGATGTTGCTTCTCGTTTGAACTATAGAAAGGAGTCTTCTAAAGTGATAGTTTGGATTGCTGATGCCCCACCGCATGGGTTTTCAAAAAGTGGTGATGGATTTCCTAATGGATGTCCCTGTAATATTGAGTTCTTTGATGTTATCAGACGATGTCAAAAGAACGGGTTAGTCATATACTCTGTTGCTGCAGAACCTCTTGGGTTTTCATATTTACGAACTTTGATGCGCGCAGTTTCAGAATTGACGCATGGCCAATACGCTTCGCTCAGTGGAGCTGATGTACTTGCTGATTTGATTATAAATGGAGCAATTGAAGAGATCCAAATCCAAAATTTGATGAAAGAAATTTTGGATGAATTAAACAAAGATGAAGCTTTCAATGATTTACCAAAAGAAATTAAATTGGCACGAGCAAAAGAAATGATCAAACAAAAAAAGAATACAACTATAAAAACTTTGAAAATCGACACAATTTTTAAAGAACAACTTCCAAAAGTACCAAAATGTTTTTTAGAAGCCACATCTCTTAAATCGCTTAAAATGGAAAAAGAAAAGGAGCCCGATATTAAAGTTACATTTAAAGATGGGTTTTATGGAAATGAATATAGTGAAGAATATGAAGAAGATGAAGAAGATGATTGTTTTTGTGAAGATAAAACTGAGAAAAAACGAGTTGCAAAAATGGAAAGTAAGACGACTAAAGCACCAGAGCAAAAAGTTTATGCGGAAGAACAAATGTTGGACGAAGAACAAGAAGAAAGAATGTATGGCGGTTTCGGTGATCTTTTTTAATCAAACACTTTCATTCATATTTTGTGGATCCGCGTTTTGAAATAATTTAAAACTGGTAGATACTACAAAAAACTATTTTACTATATAGTCTAAAATTAAAAATAATTTATTATTTTTTATATAATAATTTAATCAAAAGAATTAAATATAATAATATTAAAAAAATATTAAAGATGGTTGAAGTATTTATTAAATATTGAATAATTACATACACTCAGTGGATACCGAGTAATACACACAAAAGAAGCAATAATGTATACTTAAAAAACGTGAAATTGTTGATTTTGAATAAAAAGTAAATGTAAAAGAATTATCATTTTTACCGTATTGATACATATTTAATATTTATACATTAAAAGTGTTTTTTAAGTTTTATAAATATTTGAAAATTGTACACTTGTATTATATATAAAATTCAGTTTGGTTAATAACATTATTTTTTTTTCACAAAAAAATGTATAATTTTATTATTATTATAATAGTTATATTTATACATTAATTAACACATAGAAAAATAAAAAGTAATATTAATATGTTTAAATATTTCACATAAAACTGTTTTAAAGAGGATTCTGTATATATATAAATTGATATAATTCAAATAAATAATTTTAGATTTTTTGTTAAAAGTTAAATGATTGAAAACAATTGTTTATTTAACACATATAATTCTTGACCATCTGTTTTAAAAATTTTTAAAACATAAATAAACTGTTTTTCAAAAGTCGGTACCGAAAGGACCCGACTTTTTGAAGTAAATGATTCCAAATATTTTTCATTTTGTTTGACGTCGTTTTTTTGCTTATTTTTTTCCCTCTTATTTTTTAAAAAACAAACTTGACTGAACCTTGAATTTAGACCAAGCTAAAAAATTAAATAAAAAATAACAAGGAAAATATTAAATAACTTACTTCTTCAAAAATTTTGCTTGACCATATGGTTGTTTTTGCCGTGAGTAAAACCGACTTTTTCTCTTTTCAAAAGAAAATGTTAATGATCCAACAAATAATAAAAATCTTTCAATTTCATTAACACTTACAACACAAAGAAAAGATTATTGAAAATAAAAATAACCATTTAATATGTGTAGTGTTTCAAAGTTTGTTTTTTTTAAAGAGACAACCATAAAATAACAAC